AAATAATGGAAACTCGTGTGTCAGTACCGTTCCTCCTGCTTGATTGCAGTAATAATCTATACAATCTCGGGGATCGAGCTTCATTTTCTACTTCACAAAGACGAACTAACGTTAATATATAAAATATACGATATTTATATCTGTTTAAAAGATAAAACTAATAATGTCTTTCCTCCAAAAAAGACGATTTCTTTTCCACTAGCAGTTCTCAGCTCGATTTCAATTGTATCTATATAATTACGTCGTAAAGGAAGGTATAGAGGTGATTGGTAGACCCTAACTATTTGATCTGACTTTTCCCCCATTACAGGTATAACCCTTAAAAGTGGAGCGGTTATATTCCCAACACGATGAGAAGCAACGATATTCGAATAAATAAAAATTTCTGAAATTCCGGCAGATAATTCGGTGAGGTGTTTCGTTTTAAAAATGAACCCCTCTTACAACTTTACAATGGTTTTTTAACAAGGCAAATCAGATATGTAAGGTTTAATTCCGAGAATTTTGGAATTGTTAATTTCTTCCATCCCGAATTACAATGGAGGAAATTAACCCCCGCTGATAAAAAAAACCGTCAGATTTTGTAACAGCTTACATAAGCTGTACTTGTCGTATCGCGCTAAAAATGACAGTGATCAGTGGATGCATCTTGAAAATGTTGTATTCACAATCAACAATTTTTTTGAAAACTATGGTTTTATTTTTTTTAAAGGTGGGGAAATTGAAAAATGTTTAATTAGGAGGGGGAGCGACCGCGTTCGTAAAATCGACTTATTAGATGTCAAAAAATTCGGGGTACCAAAATACTCGAAAATTAAAATACCATGTCCTGGTCATAATAACTTCATCGAGCACTGTTCATTGTGTAATGTTTTTTCATACAGGTATTACATGAAAACAGGTAAAAATATTCTATTTTGTTTTTAAATATTATCGCATTTCAAGAATACTGAATAACTTCATCGAGCACTGTTCATTGTGTAATGTTTTTTCATACAGGTATTACATGAAAACAGGTAAAAATAGTTTATTTTGTTTTTAAANTGGAACGTATCTATATCTTATAGGAGGGTCGACTGTAATCCATTAGATACTTCGTTAATTCCTCCATCCTCGCCAACAATTATAAAACCGTATTTTCCTTCTTCTTTCCAAATATCTTTGACTTTGAAATAGCGGAGGATAAATGGAAAATTATTGGAAACATCAATTTTTTACCACGGAAATGAAAGCGTCCAAAGTACAATACAGAACTGAAGATGAGTATATTTTATAGTCTCCGTAAGTAACCAGAAAACTGTACATCCCAATGATCACAGCTTAAATATAAAACTAATTCTTTTTTAAAAAGTAACTTATATAAAATACTAACAAATCACATTTTCGTTAAAAACTAACAGCCAATCATATATTATCTGCAGATAAAAAAATACTCACAGCCCAACATGTTGTGTTAATAATTTATATTAAATTCCTATACAAATTAAATATAATCTATACTGTATCTGTCTTCATTTCGATATAATTCAAATTTTTTTTTTTTTTTTAAAGTTGTTATATTAAATTTAGATACTAATTAAAACTAATTAATTTTTATAACCCAGGATGTATCAAATGCATACTACTTCTGTCAAATAATTTAGAAGTAGAAAATGCATAGGCAATGAAATATAAACTGCCAAACAAGATCCTCTGAACAAGTCATATGAAATAAACGTATTTTGTCGAGGACACAAAACGTTTTAAAAAATGACAACGCATTATAATATACAGTCAAACATGTAAATGTGACCACTGACAATGCTCATCTTAGCTGGTCACATTAGTAGATTTCACTATACAAATAAACACACAAGTATACACATTTATCTTTTATTAGTACTTTTCATAAGAAAACTTCATGTTATTTTAATTTCTTATGTATAACTTAAAACCATTTTTTCTTATAACGATTTATATCATTTTGGTTTTTTCTTTGTTTTACTTTTTGCTTAATAAAATAAAGTTATTAAACGAGTGAGAATGAACAATTGTTAAACGTAAGATAAGTGTGTCAACTCAACATAAGTTTACTCCTCTGTATTAAAGCTTTAGTTGTGGTGGAAATTGGCATAAATTCAACGTTAGGGGAGATCGGGGCAAGATCGGCATGTTAAGCTTTACTTAAATTTTGTGTAATAAATACTGCTGTAAACTGAAAAAAAAGCTTCGCATATTGTCTATTGGAATGTTTTCTTACTATAGAACTGGTTAAAATCAGTTTGGAAATAAAAATAATTAAAATAATTACAACTTTACAAGAAGAGAGAAATTGACGAAGTTGCCCCGGGTATAGGGGCAAGATCGGCAACTTCTCTCTTTTTGTAAAGTTGTAATTATTTTAATTATTTTTATTAAAGTTGCCCCTGGTATAGGGGCAACAGTAATGGGNAATAATGTCTTTCCTCCAAAAAAGACGATTTCTTTTCCACTAGCAGTTCTCAGCTCGATTTCAATTGTATCTATATAATTACGTCGTAAAGGAAGGTATAGAGGTGATTGGTAGACCCTAACTATTTGATCTGACTTTTCCCCCATTACAGGTATAACCCTTAAAAGTGGAGCGGTTATATCCCCAACACGATGAGAAGCAACGATATTCGAATAAATAAAAATTTCTGAAATTCCGGCAGATAATTCGATGGGATAGTCGCTCACATATTCGCCTTCGGAAAATTTGCTTTTTTTAAATCCTAACAAATCTTTTAATTCGTTTCCGAATTCAATTGTTATATTTTTATGAACTTTTAAAACGATTTTGTTATTAGGTAGTAATGCTAATTTAATATATTTAAAAATTCCAAGAAATTTTTCAACAGAGGAATATAACCCGATTGGAATAAAAATTTTTTCCTCTACATCGATTTCCTCGACAACTTTTTTATCTCTTTCTATTAAAGTTATAAATTGATCTTTATAAAATCTAGGATTTGATAGATATTCCTCACTCTCATCTCGCAATATTAAACTCGAACTCCGTTGTTTAAATACTATATCTTTGGTTGGTAAATTTAAAAAATAAAGTAGTTTATGAGCCTTTTCTCTCGAAATACGCAACTCGAATCCCTCTTCCAAATTTAGTTTTACATTTTTATAATCCTTGTCTAAAACAAATTCTGCCAACTTAGATCCTGTTAATGAAACTATATTCTTGTTTATCCAATGGAAAAGCGTCCCTTCATTTTCATCGCCTGTAGTTAATGGAATCTCACATGTTACATCGGTTATTTTTTCTCTTCTAATTTTATGTCTAGTAATAGTATAATCGTTATTATGATTTGATATGTTAAACCAATTTCTAGGAATAATAACCTCGCTCAGACTTATTGCCCATTTCCCGCATAAATCACTACGTGGACTCATTTTCACGGTGAAATGAGACTGCTTATTTTCGGGAAATAACTCCATGCTGGCGTTGCTTATCAGAGTCACGAAAAAGTCTGACTGTATCATTTTGTTACCTTCTGTAATTTTTCTGTATAAAATCTTCCTTCCAAAATCTCGTTATTTAAATCTTTCATATTGAAAGATTTAAATAACGTTTGCGTCTCATCCTCTGACGTATATATTATACGTCAGAGGATGAGACGCAAACGATCGTGAATAATAAACATTTCTTCCATCTAACCAGGTAGGTATCCTCGGCTAAATGTTTTACGTATTTTCGAAATTCGAACGAGGTTGCCAATATTAAATTTAAACGTATTTTGTCCTTTTATACCGTCCACTTTTACGAAAATACAGCTGTGATGTAGGAGAGTAACTTCTGACAGAGACATACCGATACTTCTATGAAAACTATTATTATAACTTTTCACAATATCCGATAATTTTTTACTAATCTATTATAAAATTCTTTTTCTTTATCAGTTTGTAAATTTTTCGGAATGTTTATTTTTTTAAAAATGGTTTGAAAAGCTTTAAATACCGATTGAAATTTTTTATATTTATAGGTATGACATAGCAATACTTAGTAAATACATCGATTACAGTTAGTAAATACTTTATTCCATTATTAAATCTAGAAAATTGTTATAATACAACTAAATCAGCCTGCCATAAGTCGTTAGGATAAAAACCTTTAGATTTTTTCGCGAATATTTATTCTTACATGNTAAGTTGAAGTTACATCCTTCTAACAGGAAAAGTAACTTTCGTTATCATGGAATTATAACAAAACCTGCCAATTCAATATAAATAGAAAAAAAATATTATATGGAATTCAACGAAAATGAAAATTTGCTTGATAATTCAACTACGCTTGTTGGAGAACAATAAAAACACTACACTCAACAAGCCACCAATGAAACTCAACTGCCTAACCTATAATCAAAGTTTTTTTTTAATTTGTTTTTTAAAAAAAGCGCTTGACAAACTTGCCCCGCGTGCCGAAGTTCCCCGATCTCCCCTATAAAAACTTTAATAATTTAAGAAACTTTTTAATACATCTAATCACGTAGAGATTAAACTTACTTTAAATTGGAAACAGAACGGTTTGATTTTGTAACTTCTGCGATGTGTAGATTTGGAATATTTACAATACTTTCGTTATACAACTGACAACACTTTCGACAAAAGCTTCTAAAACGAATCATCCTAAGTATTGATATATCCCTCGTCATATCACCTGACAGAAATAGGAAATAGAATTCTATATCTGGGTATACAGGACATTTAGTGCCGTGTATTAGGCGAGTTTTAGAAAGACAGTACAGTTATTCACTGCACTTATCTCAGGAAGAATCGAGTTCAATATTTTGTGAAGAAAAGTCTATTTGTTTTTTTAATACTTAATAAAAAACTGGAAGGATATGATCGTATCGTTCTCTGAATTCACATCTTTTCAGAGATAACACAGCTACCTTAATGTGTCATCCGGAACCAACGATAGAAATTCAACTATTGGCCTCAACTTATAAAAATATTTAATAAGGGCAAGGAAAAACCCAGGAAAGACCCCGTAATAAAAAGCAGGAGAAGGAAGACGTTCTTTATTCGTTCTTATCAACAGTTCATGTTCTTGGGACTCGTGCGCTTGCCGATTTTGTGAATACCTCTTAAGCCGTTGCCCGTCTAGCATCTCCTGCCCCATATATTTCGATTATTTCTAAGTTTACCTACTTAACCAAAGCAACAACCTAGTCAAGATTAAAGCTTATATTTTATTAATATTGCATAATTTATTATAATTTTAAAATTATATTATTTATATTTATTAAAATTTATTAAATTTATTATTTTTATATTTAAATATAAAGATTAGACCACAATTCTATATATTAATTAACTGATTAAAATGACAAATGCTAATAACGGGTAAAATCGTCATTAAGTTTGACACAACTGTAGATATATACTACTTAATTTCTTCCAACTTTCTCAACCTTTTAACCAACAAAATTAAACAGCATAAACCACTTAATGTAAAAAACCATCGTGCAAAATTTTGAAAGTTTTCTACAAAAAGCGCAGCCTTTACTAAGCTTCGAACAGAGTAAATAAAATCGTGCCACAGACAACACACACACATCTATTACATTCTGTACTCGTAATAAATGTTTTCTTGAACTTTGTCGTTAAAACGACATAAATATTTATATTCCATTTTTAAAATGATTATATTTCTACTTCGAATTTGCTAAAATATTTTATTTTAACTTAATATACAATAAATCATTTTTAATTACCATTGTATTTAGTCACTTCCTTGATAACGTAGATTAGAAACGTTTTCGCAGATGTTCTTATTATTTCCACGTTCAATTCTTAAAGTAAAGCACCAACATAATTATAATTTAATAAAGCTTATAATCCATTAATCTGGAATAAATATATATTGAAGTTTATAAAATAATATTTTTATTTTTGTAAAAAATTATTCGAAATATTGAAATTGTTACGTTTATGCTTGACATGCATACAAAATATTCTTATAGGAAATCTAATTACGTGAAGATAAAATTTACCTTAAACTATACACAGAATGGTTTGCTTTTATAGCTTTTGTAGTCAATAGATGTGGAAGATTTACAATACTTTCGCTGTAGAACTCGTAACACTATGTACAAAAGCTTCACAAACGAATGAGCCCAGCTTATCGCCTCTGACATCAAGTGACACAAATATGTATCTGGGAATATAGGACATCTAGTTATATAATAAAACTAGCAGATAAGCCTGGCGTTGCTCGGGCAAAAAGTAAGGATAGCAAAGAATAAGTTTATTACATTACAGCTAATCTTACCCGTTTTCACAAAATGGAAGAATTAGGTCCCTCTGTTACTGAACACTTCCATTGTCAATTAACACTTTCATTGTTACTTAACACTTCCATTGTTAAAGACTTAATCCTGTCTCTCTCACTTCCGAGGGGGAATTTCAAAAAATCCCATCCTAGTGTACTGTACGTTCTCGTGACGTACCCTCGCTGTGTACGAACTTCAACTTTCAACTCCTAACGGTTTGGAATCTGCGCTGTTTATTATTATTATCAACCCGTCTCCATTATGTATGTAGGTAAGGACTGAAGAGATTCATTGAAACATAAATTCATACTCTTTTTAAATTATAAAAAATAAATCTTTTCATTAAAAAGGACTGTTCCTGTGTGATCTGTTATCAATAGGAAATTTTTTTTCTGTTTCGAAAAACATACAACTAATTGAGAAAACAGCATTAACCATTATTAAAAAATACTTACACTATACTTTCAATAATTTATATTTTTACATTTACATAATTTAATATTAAATTTATAACATTTATATTTAAGTAATTCTACAGTGTTAAAGGCAAAATTAAATGTATTCTTTCTATTTAAACTGGTGATTGAAATGAAGTATTTAGGGCATTAAATAATTACTTAAATTTTTCATATATTATAAAAATATTTTATATTTTTTAAAAATTTAGTATTGTTAGTTTTATATTCACTAAATTTAGA